TCCTCCTACTTTATTCTTCTTTTTCAGAATTGTTTTGGTTATTCTGAGCCCTCTGCAATTCCACATGAATTTTAGAATCAGCTTGTCAATTTCTACAAATATGTCACCTGGAATTCTGGTAGAAACTGCATTAAATTTGGAGATCATTTGGGGAGTGTTGCCATCTTGACAATGTTAAGTCTTCTGATCCATGAACATGAATGTTTTTCTATTTATTTAGATCTTATCTTTTCACAATGCTTTGTAATATTCATAGCCTAAGTTTTGCATTTCTTGTTCAATTTATTCCTGTTTTTTTAATTCTGTGGCAAATGGAATTATTTTGATGTCATTTTCAGATTGTTCATTGCAAATGTATAGAAATACAATGAATTTTTGTATACTGACTTTATATCCTGCAACCTTGCTGAATTCATTTATTAATTCTAATAGCTTTTTTAAGTGGATTCCTTAGGATTTTCTATATTCAAGATGCTATTTGTGAATATAGTTTCATTTCTTCTTTTCCAATTAGATGCCTTTTATTTCTTTTTCTTGCCTAACTGCCCTAGCTAGAAGCTTCAGTACAATGTTAACGAGAAGTGGAAAGAGTGGATATCCTTGTCTTGTTTCTGATCTCAGGTGAAAAGCATCCAGTGTTTCACCATTAAGTATGATATTAAGTCTCAGGTTTTTATAGATGCACTTTATTGAGGAAGTTCCTTCTATTCCAGCCAATGACATTTTAACATTCCCAAATTGAACTCACCTTTGCACTACCCTCTTGCCAAACCCAAACTGCTCCTTTTATTGTTATCTCTTAGTGCCACTATTCTCCTGTCTTAGCTTGGATTCCCTAGAAAGAGCCCAAGAAAGGAATTCTGTCCAAGTGGTTTATTGAGGGAGTACTCTCAAGTAAAACCTACAATGGAGTATAGGATGAAAGATAGGAAAGGGGGGGGAAGTTTTAAGTTCAGGTGGATACGTTTAGCCTCCAGAAACTGTGGAACATAAATGGCACATTTGTCCCACCTTGAGAAAGGGGGGAGGAATTTTGCACCCTAGCATCATTTGCTGATAATTCAATTACTGATTGCATAACGTCACTGATAATTCAATCCGTATTAGAATCCCAGCTGACTGCTTTGTAGAAATTGACACCACATCATTGGCTGTGGGGCTGTCCCTGAGAGAGCATACCTCCCAGGAATGTCCTGAAGTGGCTTCTGTTGGCACAGGGTAATTCTCAAGAGAAAGATGAAGCTATGAACTATTAGCAGCCTATGCTCATTTCCTGGTCCATATAGGAAAGAACTACAGATACAGAAATTTTATCTGTTCAGCTAGGATCTATGGAGACTAAGAAGAGCCACAGAACAGTGCTACTCAAAGGTGGTTTGCAGACTTGTGCTAGTCTGTGACATGATGAATTAGAAATTAAAAGTGTTTAGAAACTTTTCAGCATTTTGACTTTGTTATGATATCCAAGTACATGATCAGTGGACTTAGCCTGTTGAACAGGGTCTGGCCAGTTTGGGTGCTGTCAAACTTGCATGGTCAGTAGCATAGAGTGTTAACTGCATCTGTCAATGGGCAATAGGAACACATATTGATATATAAAGGATAAGATGTTTAAAAAACAAAAAACCTTGTCCTTTACCACACATAGTTTAAGAAGGACTTCCCTAGAGTTCTAAGCTCTATCCCTCCACAATTCCTAGAATAATTCAAATAGTGTTTTTAGAACAGAGTAACCAGAGGTCGATTTGTTCATGTTCAATCAAAATAAAATTGAAAATGAGTGCCTTAGAAACAAAGCTAAAGTGGACTAGGGCATCTATTTGGATTCCTGGAATAAACCCTGGCCAGGCCAGCAGAAGTAAGAATCTGTAAAAGAAAACCGGCAGGACAGTAGGCACAAGGTTCAAGGGGTAAGACCCTTTTGTTCTTCCCTCTTCCTCTCTATCCTTGTCCAGTTTTTGGCTGGAGTTTAAGGAGGAATTTTGGCATTTGAGCCTCATGAGCATCATCACAAGTGTGCCTGTACTTTTCCAATCTCTCGCAGAATAGAGGAGTCTCATATTCAGACCTAGGATTTGCTATGCTCTAATAAGGTACGATAGCTGAACCTTTCCAAAATAGCCAGAGGCCTCAAGAACATTTCCTTCTTTGCCAATGCCACAGAACATGTGGGATCCTCAAGGGGTGAAAAATCTTAACCCAGGGGAAAGTGACATATCAGGAGCTCAGAGGGATTCAGATGATGAATGTGAATTTGCTCTGGCAGGAGTTATTTTCTGAGTCAAAAAGGACAGCAACCATTTGGGCTGACCAGATTATCTTCCAACATATGGCAGCCAAGGTCCATAATGCCACTGGGCAGGTAAGGTCGGCTCAGAGAAATAATTTAGAAAACATGTTAACAATATATTACTAACATTAATGATAATAATAATGTAAAATATCAAAATATAATACCAATTGAAGGGCTTCCAGACTGAAAAACTCAGGAGGAAATGAGGGAAGATGGCCATCAAGTCTCCTTTGCCAACTGAGGCACAGACTAGCTTGGAGAGGGTGGGGGTGGAGCCCAGCATTACGATATTATGTAGAGCTAGTCTCCTAAAATTCCTCACTCTGTAGTTTACAGAAGTTGAGGATGGTCAGAAAAGGACCTGGATGAAAAACAGGCCACACTCCTCCTCAGAATATTTATTAGACACTGCCCCATGGGGCCTGCAGGAATAGGGACCCAAGCTGTACCCCTCTCCTTTTCCCAAGCTACCTCCCTGAACCAAGGGACAAGATTCTAAGGGAATTAGATTTCTCAAATAAGCCAAAACAGTATTCATTTCCCAGACCTGATACTACAATTATGTGTTTGCCAGGCAGAGAGAGCCAGTGAAAGTGGTAGATGGACTAGATGAGGGGAAACAGGATGGACCCCTCTTTTCACAGCTTGGGCTCAGAAGGGTTGGAACAAACAGGTATTTAAAAAGAGAGATGATACAAGAACAAGCAGGGGGCAAAGGAAGTTCAGGCGCTGGGTTCATCCAGATCACACAGCATTGTAGAAAGAACCAGGATAGCAACTTGAGTTTTCAGGCTAGAACGGGTAGTTGAGGGCTCAGCACCTGGAGAGAGGAGAATCCCAGGGCTTCTCTTCCAATCCTACTGTGATGAGATGCAGAAGTCCTTTTCCTTTAGAGAATTCAGAATAGCCTGTCTGAAGGTGAGAGGACATGGAGACAGACCTACAACCCCAGCCCAGGCTAAGTTTCTCCCCATTCCCAAAGGCCCTGCCTGAGAAAACTATAGAAATTCAGAGCCCCAAGACTCTGCCCCTGCTCCCCAGACCCAAGAGAGGGAGTAGGGACAAGGCACAAAGAGCTTGGGTGTAAAGGTAAACATCAGTGTGGCCATATATAACATTATTTTGGGAGAAGGGAGAAGATGCATGCCCCAAAAGGGATGCCTTCCTTCACCTGGCAGGTAGCTGGGCCTTTGCTAGCAGAAACCACAATGTAATAGAGCTCACAGAAACGGCCTGCAGAACAAACCCTTTTCCTACAAAGATAGAGGAAAAGCCTCAACTGCTATGGCACAGTCTTCAATGGGATGACAGAGGGCAGTGGGCAGACTGCTCCCGCAGTTGACACTCCTGCCTCAGTTCCCAGTGGCTCTGCTGACTCCAGATGTTCCCCATGGCTGGGACTCAGGGAAGAAGACATGTTGTGTTTCACATGATCAGACACTGTTCGCCATTGGCACCTGGTGGGCCTGACAGATTGAGGGCATCCAGGTCAAAGTTGAGGCCAGGAGGCTGGAGAGAGATGAAGGGACTCAGATAACTGCTTGTTTTTCAGATCAGAGCTTCTGCTGGTCCATCCCCAGTGGCCACAATTATCACCTTAGGTGGAATTACTAAAGGTTAAGAATTCTGGAAACCGGGGGCTCAGATTAAAATCTAGGAGGAGAAGACATACCATTTCCCCAGCCAGCTCTTTTGGAGGATGGCCCAAATCCTGTAGCTAGAAAATAAGGAAAGAGTAACATAAGATAGAGAAAATCAAACTTGCTTGTAAAAAACAGTGACACTGGGCCAGCCTGGTGGCGCACTGCTACAGTGCGCCGCTTGGGAGCGTGGCGGTGCTCCTGCCGAGGGTTCGGATCCCATATACAGACCGGCCGCTCACTGGCTGAGCGAGGTGCGGGCGCAACACCGAGGATTGCAATCCCGTTGCCGGTCCCGGTCCGGTACGGGCGCGACACTGAGGGTTGCGATCCGTTGCCGGTCACGAAAAAAGACAAAAAGACAAAAAAAAAAACAGTGACACAAAGACAGACTTGGGATGATACTCAAGAGTTTTGTAAGGGGATCTTAACCCTTGACTTGGTGTTATCAGCACCACACTCTACCGAGTGAGCCACGGGCCGGCCCAAGAGTTTTGTCTTTTGAGACTCTCCTGATGAAGTATCTGGGAGTGGGCCCCTTGTGGTCCCCTACCCCTTCCCCTCACCTGAAGATCAGTTGCATTTTTGGCTAGCCCACTCAGTGTCTCCTTTAGGCAAGAAGTGAATTCTTGTTGAGAGGTTGCGTCGCTGCCTAGGAGAGATCAAAAGAGCCATGGTCATTTGGGATTTTAACTGTTTGCATGCCTAGACTGACCTGGTTACCAGCTTGGATATGAAGCATTTACTAGTGAATCAATATCACTCCAAATCTTTGAATACTCCATGGTTATCTTCATAGTTATTTCGTAAATCTACATGGACTATGTGTCAGTGTGTATTCTCTACAATGAAACCCACAATAACATTGTCTGTACCTTTACAATGGTCATTTTTGAATAATCTTTCTATTATTTTTCAACCCATCTCACCCCTTTCATTAAGCAGGGTTCCTCTCCTCCCACTGCTTCACCCCACCCCATGGCTGTGACATCACGATTGCTGTAGGCTTTACTGAGAATTCTCGTGTTCTCAACCAACAAGACTTAAGAGGTCTGTTCAGATTATTTCTATTTGTCTGGGGTCCCTTCCTCACCCACTCTCCCGGCAGCCTCTGAGAGTTTTTGGAACTGCTCCACCAGGTGGGGCTCTTCCTCAGCCAACTCCTTCATTGCCTTCTCGAACTCTGCAGTGGCTTGGGAAGCCAGCTCACTGTCGAATAATTCCTGGAAAAACTTCTCTTGGGAGGCGAAGAGGGCATCCTGAAGGGGAAGGTGGCCAAAATGCATCTCTTAGCACTGCACTGCACCTGGCCTGGCAGAAGCCACAGGCAGTGGCTCTGGGAAATACAGCACCTCCCTCCTACCCACCTCCACTGGACATTCTAACTACCTTCCTAATGAGTACAGCAAAAAGGCATCTGGCAAATGAGGGAAGGGTATGGGATGCCATACCAGTCCAACCACTTGAACCTGTTCTTTTCTCAAAGAACTTCCTTGAGATCCCTCTGCTCAACCTCAAGTCCCTGTCTGACAAGGACTGAGGCCTGCAAAAGTACTCAGCAATGTGAGGTCAAGGCACTCTCCAGAATCACCCCACCTCCCACCCATAGGGGCCTGCCCCACCTCTGCTCCGAGATGCACACCCATCACCTCCCCCTCCCTTAAGGAGGTGGAATTTATACTTTGGCAGTGTCGCCTGGAGACTTCTTCTGGGGCCCTGAAGCATCAGGGGTCGTGGTGGTAGGTGGGAGCACTGGAGGTTTGGCTTTATCAAAATCATCAAGAGCACCTTCAGAGACAAGAGACATGGTGTATGTGTTGGGGATGGATGAGAAGCAAGGCTGGGTGGTTTCTGGGCAAACATTAGGAAAATGATATTTCAATCACCTACTTTCCTCAGTTTTTCTTTTTTTTTTTTTTTAGTATCCCCCTCCCAGCCCACACATCAATAAGCCTCCCACTCCCTTCTGGATTACCTAATTTATTGTGATCAAAGGGGAAGAAATTCCTTAAGGTGGAACAAGTGTTCATCTAAAAGCTGGGAGAAGGGCCGAGCCCGTGGCGCACTCGGGAGAGTGCGGCGCTGAGAGCGCAGCAGCACTCCCGCCGCGGGTTCGGATCCTATATAGGGATGACTGGTGCGCTCACAGCGCTCACTGGCTGAGCGCGGTGCGGCCGGTCTCAAAAAGGACAAAAAATAAAATAAAATAAAATAAAAAATAAAAAAAAATAAAAGCTGGGAGAAGAAGGTTAATGAAGTTCCGCAGAGGCATGTACACCTATAAAGTACCTCCCCTTCCACACTCTAATGACTCCCGAGAAATCACATACAAATACCCAACAGGAGCAGAGAATACAGATGTCCTTATCCTCCCAAACTCATTCAAGAGCCCTAAAGGGAATAATCTTAGGCAACAAAGCACAAGATGTCCCACCCACAGGTCCTGGTACTAGTACAAACTGATAGATTTCATACTGCACTCCATGGGAAGGCATTAAACTCTTTTCTTATCCTCCAATTTAGCTCTCTCCACAAACTCCTAGAGCTCCGTCTGGCCTCATCTCTGCAGATAACCATGTACCAATTCACAGTCACTCAGCAATTCTTACTGTTTCTGTTCATTTTTCTGTCTGCCCACATCTCTGTGACTGAACAAGAGATAAGAATTCCCCTCTGTCCTAAAAAGCCTCTGTCGTCACCACCACTCTGCTTGCCTGGCCTAGGGAGAGGGCACTGGCCCCACTCTGGGCAAGAAATGAACAGAGGAATGGAGAACAAGGATAAGAAAGAAACGAACACCACCAACTGTCTTACTCTGAGATGCCCTCATATTCAGTTTCTCAAAATAATGAAAAAGTAATCTGCTTGAGCTACTGACATGATGAAAGAACCGTAAGGGGCCTGGTGAGATAAAGGGGAAAGGGTGGAAAGGAGAAAAGAAATTATCCTCTGTGTTAAGGCGGATAGGACAAGGCACAGATGGTCGCGCTACGGGCCTGTTAAGAGTTGAAGTAAGCAATCTGTGAGTGTCCGGTTCGCTGCCCACCGAGGACAAAATGCTGTTGCTGGCGGGAGGGAAGTCAGACTTCAAAAACCATCGAATCTAAAGCAAGGGAAATTCGAAGGGGGATCGTGAAACACAGTCCTACGGGTTACCGTGTCACCATCCGGCAGGGAAATCCACGGTCTGGGCCGCTCAGGGGCCCAAGGTGAGCTCCCCTGCCCCCGCCGCAGAGGGACAGGGTGACCCAGAGGTTTTCTTCAGGATGGCACAGTCAGACTCTCGGTCCCCTCCCAACCTTTGGAGAGCCTCTCCCGCTCCGCCTCAAATCTCCTAGGTTCACTTAACCCCCTGAATGAGACCTCACTCCCGTCCCCTTAGGGCTCTTCCCATCACGGGAGCTTACTTTCCAGAAGCTCCTCCAATTCCCGGTCCGCGTCGGCCCCAACACCACAGCCTTCCTCAGCGGCGGCCATCTTGCTACCTCCGACTTGCCATAGGAGGCGGGACTCCTGGGCATCGTCGCTTGTCCCACCTCCTGCTCCACCCCCTTCCGCCTAGTGCAACCAATGGTATTGTCGGCCAGTGCGGAGCCGCCATTTTTAAAGGGACAGGAAGCTTTGGTTTTTTTGTTTTTGTTTTCCCTTTTGCTTGGAACGCTTGAGCTAAGGAGAAGGGAAACTTACTGTTATTTTCTGCCTGTTTTTTGTATGTTTGTTTTTCTTTTTTTACTGGCCTGGCCTTTCTTTCAGTTTCCCACATTACCTAGAGAAGCGCTTTATTATTTCTTCCTGAGCTGTGGGTAGGCCAAATTCGGATAAACTGCTTTCAAACCAGAATCTATATGTATATAAACGAGAAGAAAATTATGGTGCCTAAAATACTATTTTCCTTCACTTCCTTCGGTATTTCATTCTAATGTCATCTTCTTTGAAACCCTTTCTTTGGCTTCACTAAATAAAATTGCAGTCACACACACACCTCATCCCCCTTCCTTATTTTTCTCCGTAACACTGAACACTATCTGATATACTGTATACTTATATTGTTTATTGTCTGCCTCCTTCTCTACCCTTTCTTCTTCCCCGTAGAATTTCAGCACCATGAAGGCAAGGATTTTCACCTGCTTTCTTTACTGCTATGTCCCCGGCTCTTAGGCTAGAGCTTTAAACTTAGTAAATATTCCCTGGCCGCTCTTCACTCTCCCAGATCCTAATCACACATTTCTTTGCCGAATCCTTTCCTGTTCTCCATTAGAACTGTCAGACTAAAGGACACAGGGCCAGGAACTTAAAACTCAAATGTTACACAGAAAACGAGACTCTGTGACCTTGAACTGAGTAAGAGGGCAATTTGAATGTAGCAGTTATAGAACTGCCTTCCGTCACCTACCTGCTTTGCTCCACACAAGTGAAGATGGGGGAGTCTCAAAGACAAGGCTAGACATCCCTTCACTCCTTTGGAATTGTTCTATTCAGATCTGTCAGAATGTAGCAACTGCTTCAGATACAAATCTACTTTAGCAGAGATTGTATTTTTATTCTAGAGGGCATCTACCCTTGTGTAAGTTCCTGTGCAGGGCACAGTGGGGGACAGAAAGATAAATCAGAACCAGCCCCTGCTGTAAGATAGCTGGCTGAAGATGGACTGGAGGCAGAATTAGATATAAACACAGTAAGTATGACATAAGGTATGAGTGTTAAAAGAGATGACGATAAAGTGTTATAAAAGGCTAAAAGAGAGAAATCACATCTAAATGAAAAAGATCATGTGTTAAGTTACTTCATCACTTTTGTCTTTAGCTTCTTAAACACACATTTGAGTACTGCATCAAACACCAGATCAGGTACTTACTCTTTCCTTCACTTATAGGGCACAAACTTATAAAAATCATATCTGTGCAAAACCTAGTTTTTTCGAAGCATGTTTTGTGAGAAAACATTCTGAACTGGGTGTCATAAAACCTAAGTTCCAGTCCCAACTCTGTCATTAAGTCAGTTTCTAAGGTCCTTTTAAATTCTAAACGTCTATAAGCTACTCCTTCCCTGATTAACGATTAACTTCTTTCTCCCTAACACCTGTAACAACTTATTCCAGGCTAACTTCCTTATTTAACTCCAAACCGTTTACATGTGGTATCTCAAATATGGCTACAGTTATTTCAAGCACATGTTAAAACTATGAAAGTTGTCCACTCCAGATTTTTTTTTTTAATAATGCCATTTCAATGTAATATCTACAGGTATTTCTACTGGCTTTACATTAATGTGGTAATACAAGCATATTAATGAGTAAAATACTGGATGGTGTAAAGCTACACGACTATGCCAGTTGTTGAGTAAGGCAAATCATAACTAAAGCCAAAATGTTTCATTATTTTTGTTATACTGAGTTTCCATTTGTACTGTCAGGGCTAGGGCTCAGACCTTTCAAACCCATTGTACAGAATGGGTCACCAGGCCCCTCAACACGCAGGTTCACTCTAGGTAATTTGGAAAGATCCTGGGAGCCGTTGGCAGACGACACGAGCTCAGTCCTCAGCAACAGCAGCAGCAGCTTTCAGGTCCAGAGCTTACAGGTCTGGCGGTGGCAGTGGCCTCTTGGAGGGTGCCGGGGGGCCTGGAAGCAACAGCCTCCAGCAGCAGTAGCGGCCTCATGATTCTTTGCATTATTCCTTCAACTTGTTTCTGCTTTTCTATTTTTACTATTGATATTCCTAACATCTCATCTTAGTACTTACTCACCTCCTGGCTGCCCCTTCTGCCTACTGTATAGGTGACTACTGTTGCAAGAAAGTATTTTATAGCATTTTCTTCATATCACTTTCTTGCTTAAGGATTTAAAGGCTTTCCACGATTTATTGACCAATTTCAAATTCTTGCCCACTATTCACAATTATTTCACATATATCCATCTTGTTTCCCCAATTACATAAGCTTCAAGA